GTTTGAAATGATTATGTTTTAGTCAAATATTATATCTGTTTAGTCTTCTTGCGGTCAGTTTGCAGTCAATTTTTTTATTGTATTATTATGTTCCGGCCTCCGACCATCTGCCCAAGAACAAATTGGCCGGCTGAATCTAGTTGATGATCCCTGCACTACGCTCTCAGAAAACATTGTCCCAAAAGGGTTCTTCAGCTGTCCCCATAGGAGAACCCTTTTTGGTTCCAGGTAGAACTATTTAAGGTTCCATGTAGAACGCTCTGTGGGTTCTATCTGGAACCAAAAATGGTTATTCAAAGGGTTTTCATATAGGGACAGCCGAAGAACTGTTTCATGTTCTACATAGCAAAATAAATCTACGAGTGTATATACACACTCACTCACACACACACTACACTGACACGCTCACACAAAACCCAGACACATTCACATACTCTAGGTACACTACATACGCGCACACACACATAACACACACATATGATGACACAACACACACACATATACACACACTTTTAACTCATCATATGCTGCTGCTACTCTGTTCTTTATTCTTACTTTTTATATTATCTATTCTGATTCCTAGTCACTTTATCATGCATTTATATACATATCTACCTCAAACACCTTGTAACCCTGCACATTGATCTGGTACTCCCAGAATACAGCTTCATTCTTGTGTATTTTATTCCTCTTGTGTAAAACATTTTTTTTACTCTGCATCGTTGGAAAGGGCTCATAAGCAAGCATTTCACGGTATAGTCTACACCAGTTGTATTCGGCGCATGTGACAAATACAATTTGATTTGATTTAAAATAAGGTTGACACTTAGTAACAATGTTTACTGGGATTAACACCTAAAACGCGAAGTGGGTGACTGACTGGAAAACAACTGTCACTGGAGGATTAGATTAAAAAATCAAGTCAATGTTCGCAATCTGTGTCAAATACTTTCTATTTTAAAACCTTCAGGAACTATGTAAACAGTTCCGTTATACAGGCCTGCTAATCAGAGGACAAGAGGACCCATATCATTACTAGCAAACAAAATAGAAAACTGTAACTTCTATCAATGCAATCAATGAACACTTGACGATCCATTATCCCCTGCATATTTTTGTAGTAGGCTTAAGGATATTCCTAAAATTCTACTTAAATGCTTTGTTCAGGGGGTTTCCATGTTGCATTGCAAGTTCAGCACTGCCAACACTCAACACAAATATAGAAGTGACTATGAATTTCACACAATTAAATATAAAAAAGAAAACAGTGTTATTGTCTGAAACATTTTTGTCTCCCCATACCTGTTTTGTTTCACTTAATGACCTGGGCATTTAAAATAAGTAATGTGGTCATCCATGTCTTTTTTTAAATGTTCAGCGTTTGTGAAAATAGAAACTGATACGATGCCAAATAAATGGTAACTGGGGCCGTTTTTTCACTGTGCTTGTTGCGACAAAGACTTCCACATGATACCTATTTTTCCACTGAGGTAATCATTTGACCCAGGTAGATTTTGCTCATCGTGTTATTGGTACATGTTGCATGCAGAATGACAGCACACATTTACCCAAACGGATGTAAACAAACTCCAATCTCGCTTTCCTGACAAATTATCTCTTGAAGTGGTTGTCTTTATCTACAATGATATGTTCTTCTCACGTTTTCTTCTCTTGCCAGTGTTGCCATTAATGAGAAGCGTCTAAACACCAGCATCAAAACAAAAAGGGTGCAAGAAAAGATAGATGGGACTTTGTGACTTAAGTCTAATGAACCAGTTATACTAGTCATCACATCTAATCAATCATCTCATGCCAGGTTTAGACTCAATTGTTTCTGTCTGCTGACAACTGATCATGTTGCCTCATGTTTGTGCACAAGCACTGCCTGTGCTGTTTACCCTTTTCACTTTCTCAGTTCATAGGATATTATGGCCATAGTATGTCCATGCACAAGAGGACCAAGTTTGATCAAAATCAAATCAAGGAAATCCTTTGTGTTGTGTGTGTACCATAACTTGGATGATGAGTAAATGACAAGTCAGCCCTCCTGTTGACAATCTTGAGTCATATACATTTAATACAAACCATAAAAGGAGTGACATCGCCACCTGTGGGTAGAGAACGAGAAAAGCAGCTTTCCACCATCCTATTTTTCCAGGTCAAAAGACTTAAACCATTTATGTTTGTGTGTGTGTGTGTGTGTGTGTGTATGTGTGTATGTGTTGGTATATACTGTGTGTGAAAATATAAATAACTGTCATGGCGGTGTAGGCAGTGTAATCTGTACCCAGCAGGCTGGATCCCCACTGTGTGAGAGTCAGTGTATTGTTCCTGCAGCGCGTCAGATAACAACTCATTAACATACAGAATCATTTGGCTGCAAGAGCCACTCTGCCATCCATCTGCACTGAGCTGATAAATCCGCACACACGCGCACGTGCACACACACATGCACATACACACACACACACACACACACACAGTCCCCCCTTCCTTTTTCTGTCACTCTCGCTCATGCCCTCCCCTGTCCCTGTTTTCCTGTTTCTCTTTTTGGATGGACAGTACGACTGCAGTCTCCAGGCTGCAGGTAAATGTTTGGCAGTCGAGCCACAGAGTTAGTTATCGAGGTCAAAGTCCAGTCAGTCATAGCCTGATGTGGAATACTGCAGAGGTCCTGAAACACCTGGGTGCCTCCTCTTTACTAGAAACACTGCGTTTTGGTTTTGTTATGTCTCCAAGTGGAGCCGATATCACAATAATTCATACAAAAACATGAAACATATTTTTACTGCAATATTATCATTAAGTTAAATGATGATGTAGCATTTATGCATTATAATGGCTTCTGTGGTTTACTTTTTAGTTTTGTGGTGCATCATCATGAATGAATAACTCTTCGTGTTTCATGTGATTGTTTGGTAATGCTGCAGACGGACTGAGTGTGGAAGGTCTAAAGAGTGTGAACCACTTTCACAATGGCAGGATATCCTGAAGGTCACTGAGCCATGCTGACCTTTGCAGGAAGTTGTCACTTGCTAAGAGGAAGTGAGGATTCCAGACTCCAGTGGGAGTGTTTTACATGCCTTGTGGAAGGTTATGGATTTACTGCACATTGTCTAGGCTGTGTTGAAGGGGGTGGTTGGTCCACTGCATTTGGGCTTAATTTAGCCTCCAAATATAGGAATGAGTTGGTTTTTAATTCTTGCAATTCTTGTTCAATAGTCTGAATTATGTGGGTGATGATTCCTAAAAAATAAGTAAAGAAAGAAAACTTAATCATAAAAATGCTTGAAAAAATTGTATGTGATGCACATGGTTTATAACATACATAATCAGTATTTTGCTGCCTTTTCCTGTGTTCATTTTATTCAGCATTTTATATAAAATCATCAATTTAACATTGCATATAGTCATAGATATATTTATCATACAACAAACATATTATTTTTTTACTAAACAGAACATACAATGTCCCTTTGCTTTACTGTAGTTCATAAAATAGTAACCAAAGGTACCAAGATAGGCTACTAAATGTATGCTGAAAAAGCCATAATGAAATAACCAAACAACAGCGATGTACACCTCACCGTTTACTGACATAAAACTGCTTGTGTCGTGGCTAATTCCAACAGAGAAGGAGGGCGTATTTAGGAGGTGATATACTTAGTGTACCATACCAAACCACAACTGCAATACAGTGAGAAAAACATTAAAATTGATATTTATAATATACAAAATGGTTGGAAGTGAGCATTTGATTTCATTGGACCTCAGTTACAGAAATACTATTTGTACCTCTTGACAGGATTCATTTAAAATGTTTAAACCTGTGGTAGTTGTGCTTGCTAGCTACCTCGTCGCACATATGTCCATCTACATGCTTAGGTACGTGTCTCAGAAATCAAAATTGTTCACATAGATTGTACTCGATATGTATGTGTGTGTGTGTGTGTGTGTGTGTATGTGTGTGTGTGTGTTTAATGGTCAATTACCATGTTACTCTGTGATATTTTACTCAATGCTAATCAGTTATGTGTGACAGACATAAATACATAAGGTACCACATTTGTTATATCATTATATGTGTTTGTCATTCATTTTCTAGTTGACATGTTGTTCACCCACTGTTGAATAAGTAGTATGTAATCAGGAGCACAGAGCAGAATCCTTCTCAAAAAGCCACCTGCCTGAAAACCCTGTCTAAAATATAGGCCACTATATCAAACTGCCTAATCACATCACTTGACATGAACCACTGTCAAAATATTTTGGAAGGTAGGCTAATGCTATATGTACATGTTTGATCATGTGTTGAGAGTGCTAAACTCTTACTAAAAATAACACAATTTCAAGCAAATGATAATGGTCTTCAATGTGTGATTAAATGTGTATTTTTTTGTGAGGATTTGGCATCAAGCCATTGCTATCAGTGAAACAGTTATGTTGTTGTTGTAAACTTTCATAACAGTTAAAATGCCCCTCATTGACAACTGGCAAAGTTTGATCTTTTTCTTAACCCAAGGTGAGAGCTTTATGGCATTTCTATTGCCATTTCCTGGTGTACCCTCCATTGCGTCGCCTCATGGTACCATGGCATCAATTACTTTTATGATGATGACATAGGATGTATACTCATGACATGATAGTGTAACAGAAGCACACTGTATTTGAACATTCATAATGCAGGAAATATGAGGTGTTCCTCAAACAAGGTCCTAGACAGCTTGAAGCATGCATCATTTACAAGTCTTTCATTTTGTTAACCAACTGACCAAAAAGGGACCAAAAAGGACCTTAGAATCCTGATTAAGTGAAATTCTGACATCAGCATGCTCCCAGAACCTGAAGCACCGTTCTTTAGATAGAGCTCAGAGATGCTAGGGCCCTTCTCACACTCATCCATATTTGAGTCATCCCTCTTTCGGGGACATAAGTCAATCAACTCCGGAACCACCATCGTCATCACCGACATCACATCACCACCATCACCACCACTATTATCATCGCTGGCTGCCACCATCTTGTGGCCGTGCATTGCGTCGTAGGTCCCTACCGCGCGGGACGGGCACAGTTCTCGGGGCTGAAGGTGAGTCCTGGTCCTCGGTGAAGCTCTCGGGGCTGCCGTCCCCATCTGGAAGACTCCCGCAGCTGGACCCGGGTGACAACGTGCCCTGGAGGAGGAGGTCGTCCTCAGTGGCCAGTCCCACCACATCCTGACGGGGCCCCTGGTGTCCACCCTCACGGCCCCCCACCAGCAGCCCTGTCCCGTCATCCACGCCCACGGTGGCCCCTCCGTCCTGGTCATCCAGCAGGTTGGACAGGAAGCTAATGTACTTCATGGCCAGACGCAGGATCTCGTTCTTGCTCAGCTTCTTGTCCGGAGGGTGGGTGGGGATGAGCTTGCGGAGCTCGGAGAACGCCCCGTTGACGTTCTGCTGCCGCCAACGCTCCCGGCTGTTGGTGAAGATCCGCCGTACGATCTTTGGTTGGCCAGCTGGCGGACGAGAGGAGGAGGGGAGGGGAGAAAAAGGAGTAATGGGAAAGATACGGGATGTGGGAAAGGGGATGCACAAATGAAGAGTAAGACTCAGTCAGTCCAAATGTCTTATTCTCTCAAATTCTACCTTGATGTTTCTCTTATCTGCGCTACAGAATTTACGTGGTCACTTTAGATGTAAGCCTTCCTCTTCACAAAGTAAATTGAAAAGCGATAAGTGATGAGAATGTTTTAATGGTGGTAAAGGAGTCGAGTGAGATACAAAATGAGAACAGTAGCATGACAGAAGCCAGCGTAAAGGTGGTGATGAGTGACTGCATTTTCCATTTCTGAAGACAGCTATATGGTGCTGTGGTTAATGAGCTGGTTATGTATTGTAAAGCAACCAGAAGTGGGACTCCTTAAACACTAGCACAAGATATTACGCAGTGAGTTGTCCGACTTATTTAGACAATGGCACTTTTACAATCTGCATACATGTATTTGTCTATGCTCTGCCATATGTAAAGAGGTTTCAGAGTTTGGCACACCGATTACATTATTGGGTTGGCGAGCACATCGTGACTTTGCTACACTGATGTCAAAAGTGGGATAAGAGGTGCAGTCTGGTGGTGGTGGGGATAGGTGATACGAGTCCATAAATGTATGGTAACCATTATCATATATTTACCAATGTGTTTTTTTATATAATGGTACATATAGCCGATGAACAATACCTGCGGCTCACGTCAGAAACTGTGGGATGCATTTGACAAATATAATATCCCATTGGTGTACACCATTTATTTCTCTTGGAACACACCCAGCCTCCCTTAATCTGCCAGTTTACTATGCAGCAAAGCCTTGGCAAGGTAGCAGCTAACTCCCTCCACCCTCCCCCTATGTTATTTGACTATGAGTGGGTGATAGAGAAAATGAGATGCTGTATATTACAGATGTTTCTAATAAGCTAAAACCATAGATATCATATATGACATCATTGACTAGTTTTTGAGATTTGTTTAGGAGTGCTCTATAAATGGGTGGTCAGTAGCCTATTTTCTTTAATACCTGCCCATGTTGCAGTCATGTCGGTGGATAAATGGAATGGGATGACGTTGAGATGAGGAGAGGATTGAGGAGAAGACTGTAAGCAGAAGGAGGACACAGCAGAGGTGCGTCTTACCATACTTATAAAGATCTAAAATGCGCCTACCCTCGTCGAGCTCAACCTCGTAAGGCGCAGGACGGCGCTTTACCCTGTTGCTGGGGTACATGCCGTACTGTTCCGACTCCCCTCCAAGACTAGTGGCAGAGAATAGATATGAGAAACAGGTACACACACTACCATACACACATATTACTTACACACAGGCACATATACAACAGCTCACCGATATGATGTATAAGCAATACCAAAATCTTTCATGAAATTGATAGCCTTATTATAGCCTGTATAATATATGATATACAGATGGTCTCTGTGTCCATAATTGCAACCAAAACACATAAAGTGTAAGGGGATTATAGGCACAAGTAGACTAACCTGAAATCCTCACTATTCAAATTAATCAAGGGAAATAAATCTGACTGCAATTAATCAACACAGGTAGCCTAGAGGTGAAGGCTCTGACAGATACCTATGTGAAGGTGAATGAGCCAATAGCCTAGATAACAAGCTATTACATTAACTTTTCTGTCTCTCTTTTTATTATGTTTTTAGGTAGGCTATAGAAAATATGTTTTGATGTAGGCTATGCCTGTAAGTAATAGCCTACAAAGGATTAGGCCTATTCTGCAATAAAAAATAAACGAAGATGAATAACATATAGACATATATAGGCTATAATTATAGGCTATATTATTTAGGTGGGGGGAGCAATCAGGATAATATTTTTCAAATGCATAAAGCTATTTGATGCTTTTTTTTATTTTACCTGTTGATGGCAGCGAGAGGTTGCGCCAAATTGAAGAGCATCGCTCGCGCCGGGAGAGGGAACGCGTTTGGGCTCAGCTGAACCATTCGAGCGTCGATCAGCGCGTCTCGGTGTGGCAGCGGCAACGGCACTGGTGGTCTGCGAAGCTCCGTGATCGGTACTGTGTGACTCTCGGTTCTCTGCTGTCCCGTCTTTATATCGTCTCTCCTCAAGAGCTCGATCACTGGTACTTCCCTTTTCAGGTCAAGGGCGTCGTAAGCGGTTTCCTTGGCAACGCCGTTGAGGATGATGGTCCCGTTGCGCGTGTTCCGCAGAGGCGCGTCATCTGTCTTAACCCCTTCCCCAGTGAAGTTCCCCTCCTTCGAGTCCTCCAGGTCTTGGCATCCATTCTCCCTGATGGAATCCTGCTTCAGCGGGCTGCACGATTTGGCACCGGGACTTCCAGGACAAAGCTCCAGCTTCATTTTTTCCATAATTTCATCACGTTGCAGTTATATCCTATGAAATGTCTCTCTATAAATCAGCTGTCGAAAACACCACACTATGGGCAGAAAAACACTTTGTAAATGCATGCAATAAAAAAGGACTGATATCGAGACATTCTTGTTGTTGATTCAGGTCAGATTCAGATTCTAAGGCAGTCAACAAAGGCTTTTCCCGATCATTTCATCACTCCATGATTCCATCATTACAAGGCTGTTATTACTCGGTGAAGGGCCGTGGGTATAGGCCTACAGGTAGCCTATTAAGCACCACATTTAAAGAGAGAATGTATTAATTTCGTATAGCCTAGCAAGAAAATAACCCCTAAAATGCACGCATCTGCGCATCAAATTTTAACATGTTTTCAATTCAGAACTGGTGGTGAATGTCCTCATCAATGTTACAAATAGACTGTCATTACCAACTCGTTGCCATGTTATTTTGGAGGCTATGGTCGTGTTACTTTCCCCCCACATTTTGGATTAGCCCCTAAATAAATCCTATAAGGCTCATCGAAGGGTTTACTATTAAGAAAAAAACAAGAAAAAAAATAGACTAGGCCTTGTAATTCTCCAAATAGCCTACCTATGGACATGTTTGAGTGCACCACACTGAATATTTTTCAGAAAATAATAAATAAATGTCATGTGAATAACGAACACAACGAATATGAATAGCACAAGGTGCATATTATGAGAAGTCAGTCAAAAACAGCATTGACTGCTTTTGATGGTCAATCGTGTTGTTCAGTGAAGTAATTTTCCCCTCAAACGACTGTTTTTACGCGTGCATTATTCTCATTTGAACAACAGTGACCAAGGCATATATGGAGCAAGCATTCAATGTGACATTTGAAATGAAAATTGGTGTTGATATTTTCGAAAATTACCTTTTATTCAGATCCTCTAACATTTTTTTGGTGAGAAAGGCGGCCTGAATTGTGAGCATAAACGTGAAATATTTGCTTTTGAAATGACCTATTAGGCCTATTTAATTTGATCATGTGAATTAATGTATTATTAGCAAGAGAGTAAGTGAATCTCATTCTTAATTGTCTTTATTGTTGAAACCTCATCAAAATGCCCTTTCTCTGTTTTTTTGCTCACCCATGGTTTAAGCTATAGCCTACGATCCAATAGGCAGTACTTCGATTTTAGATTGCATCAGACATTTGGAACAAAGGTTGACATAACCGAGCTATTGTTCGAATTTTGGATTTATTTTTCGTTCCATCGATGCTGTAGTATTGACATGTGTAACCTACCATAACCCAAAACAACGAAGAAACCACAAGCCAATCATTTTTAACTGTAGGATAATAATATAACTTACCATTATCAATGAGACAATAACAATAAATATTCATATTCATACAATCATTAAAATAGGCCAAAACAATAACACAAAACCGTTTCTAACCAATAGCCACATAATTATTTAGGCCTAGGCTCCTGATTAGCCTATAATTGTTTAAAAATAAATTCAAGAAAATAATATGGCCTAACGCGTTCCTAATGCATTCCAAATAGTCCAACGAACGAACAATAAGGAAAAACACTTCAAACACACACCTAATTGTAATTCAAAAATATTTACCGTGCAAACCCCAGGCATGGAAAGGGAAATATCGATTAATTTTATGCGCTTACCGTTCCCGACGTGTTGTTGATGCTAGTGTGAAAGTGGAGCCATTTTGTGAGTGGGTCATCCATGTCTGAGTTTTTTTTAGTGGTGGTGAAGTGCAGTGTGGAACTGGAAGTGAGGTTTGAGTTATTCCTCATTTCGTCCAGCGTGCCCGCTCAGTATGGGGAGCGGAACACGAGCGCAATGTGGCCAGGCGAGATAAGCGCACGGCAGCGGCCTCTTCGTTCCCGATAAGCCCCTAAACCCATTATTTATGAAATGATTCATTATTATTTGGCTGTCGTAAGCTATATAGGCTTGTGGGGGGCAAAGGATAAAAACATATGAATGCAGCTCCTGTAACTACAACGATGGGAGGTATAGGCTAAAGGTTGTTATATTTTTCTGATATTATTTTTCCCCCCTGGAAAACAAACAAACACGTCTTTAAGGTACAATATGTTTATCTTTGTCGTGCATAAGGCTTAATGTCCTATTAAAATTAGGCAATAAAACCCTATAATTTGTAGACTCAGCCTGATAATAAGTCATAGGCTATAATAATAATAATAATAATAATAATAATAATAATAGCTTAATAATCATAATGATAAACTAATCATAATCATTAGGCTGTAGTAATATACATTTCAGTTGAATCTAGGTCAATCTCTACTATTCTATTCTATTAATTTCAACATCAGTACTTTGGAGATGACCAATGTGTAATTTTTTGTCTAAGTTGAATACACAAATGGACCCAATATCAAAGGACTTCTGATGCTGGAAGGAATTGTTCACTGTCATTGTTTTTATGTAGCTTATCTATGGGGTGGCCATGCCTGGGATTCATGGCAAATTTAGCGGGAGTCCCCCGGGTGACATGGCTGAGAGAGATAAACCCATATCAGCTCCCTTTCATCGGATAAACGGAGGGAGAAATCAGCAGTGACGCACTATCACTGGAGGACATACAGCATAGGCTATAGGCTAAATGGTCAGGTATTTTCCATGCTTTTTTTGTTGATTAAAATGAAGGGCGCAACTAGCCTATCATAATTAAGTCTTATTGGAATATCTTACACCATGTTCGATAAGGATAGGCTATAGCCTAGTAGGCTACGATTAGGAATATAGCCCCTGGCCTACAATCTGTGTCTATAGCCTAACCTACTTTGTCCGACCATCAGAGCTGGCAAGGCCTATTCTTAAATTTAGTATAATGTATAATAAGACTTACTTGGCCAAATATATGTAGCCTATTCTACAAAGACATGTTGAGACATATTTACTGACATATATAAATTTCAAACTGCGGAGAAAACGTCATCGGCTAAACGGAACACATGGCTACATTTGAGCCACTTGCACTAATATCCCCACCAATGTCTCCTCATTCACGAGCTCTCTGTTTTCGCGCCTTGTAAAGTTGACTGTCACTACGGTTGACATATCACGTGCTTTGGATTGCTGGTTACGACAAGCATCATCCTACATCCTGTTAAAGCAGACTGGGCAAGCTGTCGGCTATACAAAAAGAGAAACACAAACACTAGCCTATTTCCCAACCTTCGTTAGTCAATAAAATGAGTGCAGAAGGAGACACTGCCACACAAAAAAAGAAGAATAACATACGATAGGTCTATAGTGTTGTTGAATAACTTTTGAGAAAGAAATGAACCACCTTGGTAGTAGGGGCCTAAACTTCACTCCCATTGTGAATTAAGTTTCTGATTAACTTCACCAACGGCGTGGAGCTGAGGCCAGGCTACATCGATTCGCCTAATGTAAATACAAAAAAAATATGTAAATTATGAAACGCCAACCTTGTACCTGTTTGCCCTCTGTAGTTGCCTGCCTTTCTTTGTTTGCTGAAATCCATACGTTTTCAATAAACGTTAATCAAATAGCCTGCAACTTTTATTGAAAAAGTATGGATTTCAGCAAACAAAGAAAGGCACGCAACTACACAGTACAAACATAGGTAGAAGGTGAGCGTTTCATATATATATATATATATATATATATATTTTTTTTTTTAAAGTATTGACCTTGGTTGAATCAATGTAGTTGGAGCTATATTCCACAAAGCTTGGTCTCGGTTCCAAGCTGTTGGTAAAGTTCATAAGAAACTTCCTTCACCTTGGAGTGGAGTTTGTGGTTTGCTACCTTGGTAGTAGACCTATGTTATGAATGAGCTATTTCAACAAAGCTTGCAATTAGATTCGCAAGGTAGGCTGTGTTTGGAAAAATGTAAACTAGTTGGTTGCACTGTAATTTAGCAAGTTACCAAATATTGCATAGGACTAGTAAGTGCAGGTTAAACAGGTAGCCTAATTAATAAACAGATTTCATTATCACCTTTGACACAATATGTTATTTATTGTGAAATGCAAAATGACCATTAGGTGCAGCATCTTCTTTCTCTGTTTTATCTGACATCAGTTTTTCAGTGATTTACCAGTACTTACATTTGCCTGAATCTTCAAAGACTAGACCTAATAATGGACAAGCATAATTAGATTGATTATGTCCTTCCTTTGGTTCTCCCTGAGTAAAAAAATCTCTCTTTATGCTTGCCTATTTCCATTCTCATGTTTTCGTCATGACATCATCATGGGGCAGTGTCCAGTGTGTTATTTCATTGAAATGGATAATGAAATATTCCAGTGTTGCATTGCTCTGCGCTGGTTCCGACATTGTGGCAGGATATATGGATAGAGGCAGTGCTGTTGCTGGTCATGAGGCGTGTCACCTGATCCAGGGTCAGTCCAGCCACCGCCTCCCCGTTCACCTCCAGGATCTCATCCCCAGCACCCAGGAACCCAGAGTACAGGCCGTCCTCAGTACCGTCCCCTACCTGCTCCACATACACACCTGAGATGAGAGAGAGAGGTGGAAGGAAGGCACGGGTGGAGGGATGGAGATAGAGAGATAGAGAGATGGAGATAGAGAGATGGAGAGGGAGGGAGATAGAGAGATGGAGAGGGAGGGAGATAGAGAGATGGAGATAGAGAGATGGAGAGGGATGGAGATAGAGAGATAGAGAGATGGAGATAGAGAGATGAAGAGGGAGGGAGATAGAGAGATAGAGAGATGGAGATAGAGAGATGGAGAGGGAGGGAGATAGAGAGGTGGAGAGGGAGGGAGATAGAGAGATGGAGAGGGAGGGAGATAGAGAGATAGAGAGATGGGGATAGAGAGATAGAGAGATGGAGATAGAGAGATGGAGATAGAGAGATGGAGAGGGATGGAGATAGAGCGATAGAGAGATGGAGATAGAGCAATGGAGAGGGAGGGAGATAGAGAGATGGAGATAGAGAGATGGAGAGGGATGGAGATAGTGAGATGGAGATAGAGAGATGAGAGGGAGGGAGATAGAGAGATGAGAGGGAGGGAGGGAGAGAGATGGAGAGGGAGGGAGATAGAGAGACGAGAGGGAGGGAGGGAGATAGAGAGATGGAGAGGGAGGGAGAGAGAGAGATGGAGAGGGAGGGAGAGAGAGAGAGAGAGGAGGGAGGGAGGGAGGGAGATAAAGATGGAGAGGGAGGGAGATAGAGATGGAGAGGGAGGGAGATAGAGAGATGGAGAGGGAAGGAGATAGAGAGATGGAGAGGGAAGGAGATAGAGAGATAGAGATGGAAAGGGATGGAGATAGAGAGAGATGGAGAGGGAGGGAGAGAGCGAGAGATGGAGAGGAAGGGAGATAGAGCGATAGAGAGATGGAGAGGAAGGGAGATAGAGCGATAGAGAGATGGAGAGGGATGGAGATAAATGGGGAAGGAGGTAGAGAGAGAAAGAGAGAGAATGGAGGACCAATTACTTTCTCCACAAAGCCTAAGAATATGCACAATAGGTAATGGCATTGGTACACAAACACCAGAATATGTACATTCACAATCATGATATAGTATGTCATTACACACTCAGGTAAAATGCCCTCCCAAGCACCCAACTAAAATCACTTCAATTAGGTGTTCCATGAATATGCACCCTCGCATCCACACTCTAACATGAACATCTAATGGAACCCAGTTATACCGTAAAGGTGCTTTAATATACCTGTGACCGGTCGACCTTTGCCTCTTGAGATGACAAAACCAAAGGGGCCATTGGGGGGTCTGGTGAGCTCTAGGAGAAGGGTCCCATCAGGGAAGGCCTGGACGACCCGCCCCATGGGACGCAACACCCGAGGGGCTAACACCTCTTCCACGCTCAGGGCTCTCTGGATCACTCTGTAGAAATAGTAGGATACAGACATCTCGGTGAAATGTAGTGGGGGTATATTTACCTTCATGAGAAATTGGTGGCAGTTTGTCAAAATCCGTTTCCTATTGGAAATTGGGTTCTTACAATAATCTAGCTAGTTCATATTTATGAACACAAGGCATTTTGCCAAGTCAAACATTGCCTAGTGTGAATAAGGTCTACAATCTACACTGAACAAAAATATAAACGCAACAAGCAACAATTTTAAAATATTTTCCTGAGTTACTGTTTATATAAGGAAATCAGTCAATTGAAATAAATTCATTAGGCCCTAATCTATGCATTTCACATGACTGGGAATACAGATATGCATTGGTCACATATACCTTAAAAAAAAAAGGGTAGGGTCGTGGATCAGAAAACCAGTCAGTATCTGGTGTGACCACCATTTGCCTCATGCAGCGCGACACATCTCCTTCACATAGAGTTCATAAGGCTGTTGATTGTGGTCTGGGGAATGTTGTCACACTCCTCTTCAATGGCTGTACGAAGTTGCTTGATATTGGCGGGAACTGGAACACGCTGTCGTACACAAACACGCTCAATGGGTGACATGTTTGGCGAGTATGCAGGCCATGGAAGAACTGGGCCATTTTCAGCTTCCAGAAATTGTGTACAGATCCTTGCGACAAGGGGCCTTGCATTAGTTATTTATTTTATTTCACCTTTATTTAACCAGGTAAGCCAGTTGAGAACAAGTTCTCATTTACAACTGCGACCTGGCCAAGATAAAGCAAAGCAGTGCAATAAAAACAACAACACAGAGTTACATATGGGGTAAACAAAACATAAAGTCAAAAATACAACAGAAAATATATATACAGTGTGTGCGAATGTAGTAAGTTATGGAGGTAAGGCAATAAATAAATAGGCCATAGTGCAAAAATAGTTACAATTTCGTAATTAACACTGGAATGATAGATGTGCAAAAGATGATGCGCAAATAGAGATACTGGGGTGCAAATTAGCAAAATAAATAACAATATGGGGATGAGGTAGTTGGGTGGGCTAATTTCAGAATGCCTGTGTACACGTCCAGTGATCGGTAAGCTGCTCTGACAACTGACGCTTAAAGTTAGTGAGGGAGATAAGAGTCTCCAGCTTCAGAGATTTTTGCAGTTCGTTCCAGTCATTGGCAGCAGAGAACTGGAAGGAATGGCGGCCAAAGGAGGTGTTGGCTTTGGGGATGACCAGTGAGATATACCTGCTGGAGCGCAGACTACGGGTGGGTGTTGCTATGGTGACCAGTGAGCTAAGATAAGACAGGGATTTGCCTAGCAGTGATTTATAGATGACCTGGAGCCAGTGGGTTTGGCGACGAATATGTAGTGAGGGCCAGCCAACAAGAGCGTACAGGTCACAATGGTGGGTAGTATATGGGGCTTTGGTGACAAAATGGATGGCACTGTGATAGACTACATCCAATTTACTGAGTAGAGTGTTGGAGGCTATTTTGTAAATGACATCGCCGACGTCAAGGATCGGTAGGATAGTCAGTTTTACGAGGGCATGTTTGGCAGCATGAGTGAAGGAGGCTTTGTTGCGAAATAGGAAGCCGATTCTAGATCTAACTTTTGATTGGAGATGCTTAATGTGAGTCTGGAAGGAGAGTTTACAGTCTAACCAGACACCTAGGTATTTGTAGTTGTCCACATACTCTAGGTCAGACCCACCGAGAGTAGTGATTCTAGTCGGGTGGGCGGGTGCAAGCAGCGTTCGGTTGAAGAGCATGCATTTCGTTTTACTAGTGTTTAAGAGCAGTTGGAGGCTACGGAAGGAGTGTTGTATGGCATTGAAGCTCGTTTGGAGGTTTGTTAACACAGTGTCCAATGAAGGGCCAGATGTATACAAAATGGTGTCGTCCGCATAGAGGTGGATCCGAGCGTCACCAGCAGCAAGAGCGACATCATTGATATACACTGAGAATAGAGTCGGCCCGAGAATTGAACCCTGTGGCACCCCCATAGAGACAGCCAGAGGTCCAGACAAGTTGCAGCGGAGGGTGCAGAGCTGGTGGCCAGGGTAGTGGTAGCCAGGTGGAAAGCATGGCCAGCCGTAGCAAAATGCTTGTTGAAATTCTCGATTATTGTAGATTTATCGGTGGTGACAGTGTTTCCTAGCCTCATTGCAGTGGGCAGTTGGGAGGAGATGCTCTTATTTTCCATGGACTTTACAGTGTCCCAAAACTTTTTGGAGTTAGTGCTACAGGATGCAAATTTCTGTTTGAAAAAGCTAGCCTTTGCTTTCCTATCTGATTGTGTATATTGGTTCCTGACTTCCCTGAAAAGTTGCATATCGCGGGGGCTGTTCGATGCTAATGCAGTACCCCACAGGATGTTTTTGTGCTGGTCAAGGGCAGTCAAGTCTGAGGAGAACCAGGGGCTATATCTGTTCTTAGTTCTGAATTTTTTGAATGGGGCATGCTTATTTAAGATTGAGAGGAAAGCACTTTTAAAGAACAACCAGGCATCCTCTACTGACGGAATGAGGTCAATATCCATCCAGGATACCCAGGCCAGGTCAATTAGAAAAGCCTGCTCGCTAAAGTGTTTTAGGGACCGTTTGACAGTGATGAGGGGTGGTCGTTTGACCGCGGACCCATTACGGACGCTGAAACATGGGGTATTGGTGGCGGATGAATGGCACGACAATGGGCCTCAGGATCTCATCACGGTATCTCTGCGCATTCAAATTGCCATCGATAAAATGCAATCGTGTTCGTTTTCCGTAGCTTATGCCTGCCCATACCATAACCCCACCACCACCATGGGGCACTCTGTTCACAACGTTGACATCAGCAAACCGCTCGCCCACACAACGCCATACACGCTGTCTGCCATCTGCCCAGTACGGTTGAAACCTGGATTAATCTGTCAAGAGCACACTTCTCCAGTGTGCTAGTGGCCATCGAAGGTAAGCATTTGCCCACTGAAGTCGGCTACGACGCCGAACTGCAGTCAGTTCAAGACCCTAGTGAGGACGACGAGCATGCAGATGAGCTTCCGGTTTCTGACAGTTTGTGCAAAAATGATTTGGTTGTGCAAACCCAAAGTTTCATAAACTGTCAGGATGACTGGTCTCAGACGATCCTGCAGGTGAAGAAGCCGGATGTGGAGGTCCTGGCCAGGCATGGTTACACGTGGTCTGTGGTTGTGAGGCCGGTTGGACCTACTGCCAAATTCTCTAAAACGACATTGGAGGCAGTTTATGGTAGAGAAATGAACATTCAATTATCTGGCAACAGCTCTGGTGGACATTCCTGCAGTCAGCATGGCAATTGCACACTCCCTCAAAACTTGAAACATCTGTGGCATTTTGTTGTGTGACAAAACGGCATATTTTAGAGTGGCCTTTTATTGTCCCCAGCACAAGGTGCACCTGTGTAATGAATATGGGGCGGCAGGTAGCTTAGTGGTTAAGAGCGTTGTGCCAGTAACCGAAAGGTCGCTGGTTCTAATCCCCGAGCCGACTAGGTGAAAAATCTGTCGATGTGCCCTTGAGCAAGGCACTTAACCCTAATTGCTCCTGTAAGTCGCTCTGGATAAGAGCGTCTGCTAAATGACCAATTATTTATTTATTTAATTATTTAATATGCTGTTTAATCAGCTTTTTGATATGCCACACCTGTCAGGTAGATGGATTCTCTTGGCAAAGGAGAAATGCTCACTAACAGGGATGTAAACAAATTTGTGCACAACATTTGTGAGAAATAAGCTTTTTGTGCATATGGAAAATTTCTGGGATCTTTTATTTCAGCTCATGAAATATGGGACCAACACATTACATATTGCGTTTATATTTTTGTTCAGTGTAGATGATGGAGAACTGCCTGTGTTTGTAGTGTTGTGTCAAAAAGGATTACAGTATTCACGTTCCTAGTATTTATGTTCCTTATGTTCTCCTGAAATGTCTTGATTGGAATAGAATTTCTGTTTCATGATAGTTTTTTTTTACCGTTTGAAAGATTGGAAAGTTCAGAGTACTATTGGCAGAGCTGGTTGATTTAGAGCCTAGACACAATGATACATCTATTTTGTCCTTCTCTCTCTCTCTCTCTCTCTCTCTCCACACACACACACACACACACACACACACACACACACACACACACACACACACACACACACACACACACACACACACACACTCTGTACCTGGGTGCCAGGCTGTAAGGCACGGGCACCCCTCCCAGAATGGTTGAACGCTCCACTCTCCTCTCCAGACTCTGCACAGAGGATGCTTTCCGAAGCTGGGCCAGTGGGGACAGCTGGTGACAGAGAAGAACATTGCAACAGGGTGTCATCATCCATGCAGTTGATGTTGTCTCCTGAGTCCTGACAGTCACAGACAGTCTCTTGTATGTCAGCCATGAAAATTGCATCTCAACATGAAAATGTTAAAGAATGGCATAAAAGTAAAGTGGCATAGTCCTTTCTGTTGCTTGACAAATGAGTTAGTGAAAACACTACATTGAATTGAACTGAACTAGATTGAATAGAACGCAACTGAGCTGAATTGAATGTGTGGTGCTTACTGTGCGCAGGGCCTGTAGCGAGGGGGTCCTCTGCAGGCGGGCGTTGGGGTGAAGCCTGTGGGTGGGGCTGGGTGAGGTGGAGCTGGCCCGGGGCGCTGAGATACTGAGCTGTTCCATGCTGCTGGAGCGCCCTCCCTTCACCAGCCTGCCCACACTGTGCAGCCCAATGGAGGAGAAGAACCGTCGCAGTGAGAGCTTGGGTCTACTGTCCCGCTCTGCCATAGACCTCCTACACATGTTACCAACGCATACAGACAGAGCAAAACATATATGTTGTATGTGAAAAACCAGGCTGAACATTGGTTTATGTTCTATTGAATCATGCTGTTACAGTGAAATTCCTGCAAAATATATTACAATAAAGCAAATAAACTGTATGGTGCCAGCTGTACTAATGCAATCACAGAGTTGGTAATAGTGTTGCAATTATCCACCCCATCAGAGAGTTCTTGAAGCTCACTGCCAAAACAAGCTGTAGAGCATGAAGCTTTGCTTTACTCTCAGGAGGGGGCAGTGTTGACTCACTGTCAGATAGACAAACAACAACACACCATTTACATGAACCATACATTATACATACAGTATATATATATATATATATACACTGAACAAAAATAAAGCGCAACATGTTTCATGAGCTGAAATAAAAGATCCCAGAAATGTTCCATACACACAAAAAGCTTATTTCTCACAATGGGATCCTGATACCCATTGTCGTGCCATTCATCCGCCGCCATCAACTCATGTTTCAGCATGATAACGCATGGCCCCATGGCCTGCATATTCACCAGACATGTCACCTTTTTTTAAAAGGTATCTGTGACCAACAGATGCATATCTGTATTCCCAGTCATGTGAAATCCATAGATTAGGGCCTAATGAATTTATTTAAATTGACTGATTTCCTTATATGAACTGTAACTCAGTAAAATCTTTCAAATTCTTATGTGTTGCATTTATATTTTTGTTCAGTATATATGCCATTTAGTAGACGCTTTTATCCAAAGCGACTTACAGTCATGTACGCATACATTTTTACGTATGGGTGAACCCAGCGGGAATAGAACCCACAACCTTTGGCATTGCAAACACCATGCTATGCCGACTGAGACACACAGGACCCCTGTATATGGGTGACTTGAATTTGTTGTCAGCAGTGGGATCTACACTGACCGAGCCCCCTCTAGGCCGTCGTCCCACTGAGCCTCCGCCTTCAGGTGCTCTGCTCTCAGTAGCTCCGCCCTCAGGTCCTCAGCTCGGGACACACCCAAGCAGCGCAGCGCAGGGCGGCACTCTGGAAGAGCCACCGACAGATCTCGACACACATCTCCACTCAGCACCAGACCTGGAAGAGAGAGCGATTTTAGATGTGAATGAAAGACACATTCAGTGGACAAAATCTTTTTGAGATTCACAAGAGTAATGTGCACATCACATCAAGTTTACTTCCTTTCAGTGCAATACATATTAACTCACCAGCTCCATCTGCAGCAGTATCCCAGAGTTCCGCAGGAGGGAGGTCAGGGGTGATCCTGGCAGGGGAGTACCTGAGGGAGGATGACCGGATGCAGGGGACCAAGGCGGAGCTAGGGGGAGACCCTGGGGGGGCAGAGATAGGACCCTCTCCATGCTGCTCTGCGGTGATGAGGTCATGGTGCCCCCCGGCCTCATCCAGATTGATGAGTCGATACTGAACCGAAGGCAGGAGCTTGACCACACGCTGCCCACTTGCCCTGCTCTTGGAGCCTGACTTCAGAGCTGACTTAATGGGCAGCGGCGGAGTGGGGGCGTCCCTGTCCTTGGGGATGCTGTTTCCGGAGGCTCCCACCAGAGGGCGGTCCAGAGCTACAGGGCTGCCCAGAGCAAAGGTGACGGCTCGCCTGCACACATTGACCCTGTTTCTGGGGTTGGAATTCCGACGGTGGGCCCACGAGGCACCATAGGGGCCGTGACCCGATCCGACGAGTTTCAGCCGGCTCTCTCCCTTCTTGCTGCGTCTCCTCAGCTTCCCAAAACCTGAGGCCTTCTCCCCCTCTCCACCCCCGGCCCCGCCCTCTGTGTTCTCTCCCAGAATCAGGACCTCCCCGAAGGTGACCGCTGCCACTTTGGGGCGGACACTGCTGGGCTGGTCTAGTTGGGGGATCCCATCTGATTGAGCTGGGGGAACCCAGCGAGGGACCTTCTTCCCCTGATTCTCCTCCACGTTGCCGGGCTGGGCCATAGCAGTCTCTGGTTCGGGCACCGGAGGATCCCTAAGAATAGATCCACAAGCTTCACATTTCCTCACCACCACCACTACCGCCGTCATCTGGGTAGAAGCAGCGTTCGTGAAACTGACATCCTCCAGTGTTGGAGTAGGGCCTGTAATGCTGATGCTACGCACTGTCTTCTTTTCCAGAATGCCCTTGGATTTCTGACCCGTGGCCCGCCCACGCTCCCTCACCCGATCCAGGTAGCGAGACTCCACTTCCTTCTCTGATTCGTCCTCAAACCGCACCCGTGTGGGCGAGTTACCATTCCGAAAATTACGCCCCCCAGGGAAGGGGTCTTTCCTTTGTGGGATGAGGAGTGGGCCGGGTGAGGGAGGGTCTGTCAGCTCTTCTTTTGGTTGTACAGCCACAGCCTTTTGGAGCGGTGGTGAACCACTCCCAGACTGCTGCCTCCTGCTGGATAGAACAAGGAAGCAAACTTCGTAGATAATGCAATCATGACTATACACACTTACTGGCAGTCTGTAAATATGTACATAGACACAAATCATAATTTCTGCTGACACAAATACTTGAAAGGACATGAGTAATCATGTTGTGTGTGTGTGTGTGTGTGTGTGTGTGTGTGTGTGTGTGTGTGTGTGTGTGTGTGTGTGTGTGTGTGTGTGTGTGTGTGTGTGTGTGTGTGTGTGTGTGCCTAAGGGTAGAGCAAAACAACTGGCTAGGTACTGCTCTGTTTCAGCCATTATGGGCAGCCTACCTCCGTCAACACTGTGCCAATTCTAATCCAAAAATGTCCCCAAGTTTCACCATCATTGTAAAGCCCTAGTTATTTTGTTGCTTTGACAAAGTCATTTCTGAAGATTATTATTTATTTATTGTGATTAGTGATTAATGAACCTCTGTCCCTCATTCCAAGGTCAACCCTGTTACGTGAACAAACTTTTAATATGGTGAAACTATTCCTTTTTTAAATATTTTTTTCTAAAGAAACATTAAACACCTGATAGTCAAATCATAGTGTAAAAACAGGTGAGCTGGTTAAAAAAAAGGCACCTTTTTTGGTGTTTTGTGGTGGAAAACTGAGTGGGTCGAGCATAACATGTCAACCCTGTTACCCATAGATAGACAGGTTAGAAATGTTTTAGCAACTATATATATATTTTTTGTGAAGCTTGCCTTCAATTGCCACTCTCTGTTGCACACAATAAGCTTCCATTCCCACTGTCACAAGGGGATTTATGGCTGATTTAAGATTAAATCGTCAACCCTGTTACGGTCAACCCTGTTACTTTGTTTGGTACTTAATAAGCACTTACTATAGTAATTTTTTTAATTAACCTCTTGAGATGGGAAAACGTATTTTTTATGAAGTTGAACATGTGCTCTTTATGACAGAATGTAAAAATGTGGTGAAATCAAACGTTTTTTGGGGACCACGTTACACTTCTCAAAAGGTACAGGTAGTCAGACAGGTAGTCAGATGAACAGAGGGGGGTATTGATAGAGATCGACAAAGGAGCAAATACAGTTGATTGACAGCAGGGCACAGCTGACTTACGGGTTGTATCTCTGGGCGGAATGGGCACGGCGAGTTGGGGGGCGATTGAAGCAGGCTTTTAACCGAGCCCTCTCCAGCAGTAGCATGGCCCGCTCGTGTCTGGGGCTCAGGGGAATTTTGTCAGGGTTGAAGTGTGACCTGTCAATCACACAGAGACAGAGGGTAAATGGGAGAGGGAGATATAGAAATATATATATATATATATATATATATATATATATATATATGTGATAGAAATGTCTTACCAATCCTTGCCATGAGAGGGCGTAATCACCCTGTGGGATACTTGAATAGTTTGTTGGGATGATTTGGGTTTAGGGTTGTCTTTGAGCTAGTGATTGAAGTGGTAACATGTTTGTTTATTGATTGATCATAGACATGGAAAGATAGCACGCGTTTTATCTTTGTAAAGGTGTCTTCTGTGACAGCATGGGCAGCACCATTGGGGGCTAGCTCCATTTTAAAGTAGTCCATTTCTTCTTCTTCTATGAGTGTATTAGCGATTTGTAAATAAACTAAAAAGGTGCATATCACCACCTACTGTGCTGGAGTATGTATAGTCTGAACAGGTTTAAAGCTGCTGACCTGGATGGAATTCTGTGATTCTTCCTTAACCCATAACAAGTTCCACCTAGTTGACTACTTCGAAATGGTGAAAGTCCTCAATGGCGCTGCCCATGCTAAAGCAGGCTTTTGGTCCAAGTGCGCCGTCTATCTACCTCTATGATATTGTTACATCACCATTGAAGAAAGAAGTTGCCCTACCCTTTACTAAATCCTCGCCTTCCACAATTGATGACAGCAGTGAGATCCGAACCCACATTATTGAAATTACTGGAGGGGGTAAAAGGAGGGGGGTGGAGGTGGGGGGCAACAAGACAGTGGTCCAATATTGCTGTAATATTCATGGCTTGCTGAATTAAAGATCTATTAGCATATTGCTGATGTGATTGATGAGGTTCATATTCATTTTTCAGGCCTACAGTAATCACTAAGGTCAAATTCCACATTTTGTGTAGCCCTGAAATCATTTGAAATGTATTTTTTTCTTGACTCATTTGCCTGCACCACACATCTGGGGCCTTCAGTTGAACCGAGCTGATCCTGCACAGTTACATATCCAGAGAATATCATATGCCCTACGGATAGACTTATAGAGAATGGAGCTATGAACGCCCGAGTCTTCTATGTTAAGCCTTCTTATATAATATCAGATTGGACTGGAGCATGGTGGCGAGCAATAGGAAAGGAGCATCATACGCCCAATAGCTTAGCTTAGCCCCTGTATTGTACTTTATCCATTGTATTCCACTTGATCCTCTGCTCTATCTGCTTTAGTGGCCAGGAGAGCATGACACGCCCATGGCTTATCCCTGTCATCTGCATACTCATCCACTCCTGTATTTAAGGAAGATGGAGGAAGATGTTGTGTCTGTAGCTTAGCTTTGTAATGTTCGTATTTATCCACTACTTCCTCTCATGGGAGAGGTGTGATCTGATGTCACATGCTTTCTTAGCATCTTTACGTAGCTTATGTTTTAATCTGTAGCTCTGACAAAAATTATTTTTGACATGGTTTTCCAGCATTGGCAAGCCTGCTTTCATTGCTTCATTAAAAAGGATTTACACTTCAGCCATGTCCCTCGTGGCAATGCAATGTTCAGGTGTGCATGATGCTAGTTGGGACAAAATGTTATGTTTGGTGTAGATACCATTTAAAAAGTGGGGGGCCCAAAACAAATAATATATAGGGGGCAAAACTATCCCCCAAAAGGTAGTTGAACCCCCATCTATCTTTGCACACACACCACCCCTCTTTTCTATGCAGGCAGACACTAATGTGATATTCCTTACCCAGGCAGTTCAAGCAGCTCTTGTTGTGGAATGGTTGAATCCCACTCATGGTCCCAGAAGGCAGATGCGTCTAGAGACACTGAAAACAAAACAGAAATTTCACCATGAAAATAAAGCTTTCCAAACCTAATTCCATGCCATGCAAATGGCGCCTCACACATCAGTTGCAACAAATCCAAAGGAACAGTTCAACTCAACAAGCTTAGTATTACACAATGCTATTACATTGTTATACAAAGCCAATTTCAATTCACATGGTTGACGTTTAGGGTGAAGATGCTTCAAATACATTTTATTTGAGATATGTTGTTCACAATTTAGCTCTAATGCAAATATAGCAGCAGAAGTGCATTGTTAAAGCATTTATGCAGGTACTAAACTGCGAAGGGCTTTACTCAACCATAAAGGTTGTCGTAAGCCACACATCACATCAGGCCCATGGACCGTCCCCAAGCTTGTCTCTGATCCTAATGCCTGTCAGATAAGCCTTACATAACACCATAACGACAGGAACAGATCGGTATTAAAACATTGCCATCTGATCATGCCATGCACTCAGTGCACTGTGGTTCAATTTTCACCCCCCCCCCCCCCCCCCCCCCCCTCACAATCACACACGCACACACAAACAAACAAACGCACAAATGTGCAGACACAATCAAACATGCAAAGGACATAAACAGACTCACCCCTCCACAGAGTGCTAATAATAGCTACACAACACCAACACATCTGTTCCTCTAAGTGCTCCTGATGGTGGGAGGTACTCACAGGCAATAGAACCCATAGAGCTCTGATCATCTGACACATGATCCGAGACTGGTCCCCAGAATGAACAGTTGTAAGCACACTTTATAATGAATGGATTTACTTAATCAACGATGCCTGGTTTGCTTACAAAACAATTGACATTCACTTGAAAAGGAAGTGCATCTAAAAAGGTGCAACTAAGCCCTCCTCCCCAACCATATTATTATTGAGCAAGTGATTTGTGTTCCAAAGCAGGACCTATTTATGTACCTCCCACACTCTTGATGGATGTTCTTCAACCATGAGAGGTCAGCAAGGGGAATTTTGTATCGATCTTTTTCAGTTAACTTCTCCAAGCACCCAGACTTGTCATACAACAAGCTGTACCAACATTTTTTAACTTCACTGGAACTTCATAATCATACCATCTCTCTTGTCTATCTGGTCGACACAGAGGTACGGGATGTCCACACTGCCTTTCTCCTCCTCTCTGTTGGCGTTCCTTCGTCTGTTCACCGACCGCCCTCTGGCTCTCTGGTTGGCCTCCACGGTCTCCCACAGCGAAAGCGTCCCTTCCTGCGAGCACACGCTCTCCCAGCTCTCCGCCCTCCACAGCCCCCCCGTGCAGTCCGTCCTCTCCTTCACTTCCCTCTTATCACACCTCTCCAGGTAGCATTCCAGGCTGTCTGAACGCAGCATGTCCCAACAGCCCTTGTTCTCGTCCTTGTCCTCTACTACAGAATCCACAGAAGCCAGTCTCGACTTCCTCTGAAACCCTGACAGGGTGGCATTAGCAGGGGGTTCGTCCTTCAGAGATACAAATGACGAGGCTATGGGCATCGTAGTCTGAGTGCCCACTCCGTTCAGAAATGGAGTCTCTGGGCGTGCCACCCTCCAGAAGCCTTTAGGGGGCGCCCAGTGTCTGTGAGAGGAGGGAGACGAGGAAGAAGAAGAGGTAGAGGAGAATGAAGGAGCAGGTTTTGGAGAAGGAGGGGGGTCCTCCTTGTTTCCGCCGGTGCTGTCCGACTGGATGTTGTCCAAGCTCTCCAAGCTGGCCCCCTCCCCAAACCCATGAGGCTGCCCCGGCACACTTCCAGCCAGGCCTTCCCTCTCCCCCTTCTCTGTCCCCTTCCCCATGGCACCCCAGCTCTCCTGCTCCCTCTGTGGTTCAGTCAGGTCGGTGTGGAGCTGTACCCTGGCCACCACCTCCTCCTCCACATCATCTTCACTACTGCTGGACCTCCTCCTTTGGTCAAAGCACTGGAAGGGCACAGGCTGTGGCACCTCCACCCTGCTGCGGGCCTTCTGCCTGGGCCGGGCCTGGGACGAGACAGGCCCCCCTGCCTGGAGCTCTAAGGCCCTCTTGTCCTCCCAATCCCTCTTTCTCTCTCTCCCGCCGGATCTCTGGGAGAGAGCCTTCACCTTGGACTGCAGGGCATGGACGGCAGAGCCTGGAGGAGAGGGGGAGGAGGGGGAAGGTAAGGGAGAGGAGGGAGAGAGTGTGCCAGGCTCGGGAACAAGGCTCAGGAGGTGGCCCTGGTCATCAAAGGCTCTTGTCCGATGCGAAGAGCTGGCAGGAGGCGATAGTTGTGTGATTTGGACCTTTTCCTCCTCCATTGGCTGGCAAGGCAAAAAAGACAAGTTTGATTGGAACCTAATGAACTAATTGTTGTAGGCAGCTGGTAAAATAGACTTACTAGAACTAGGATATCTAAAGTAGTGGATTCAATTCAATGTCTACCCTTTATCAAATGATTACTGCATAGGATAATGGATAATCCTTTAGAATGGAAATAAGCCACCAGTGCATAAGAAACATATGTGTGATAGCTGGCATTGTACTGACCATTTAAAAAAGTGTTGTTGTCATAAAAGACATTGGATGAAGACATTAAAATATAAAAAAGTTCATTACTTGTACTTTATGATCAGTTGCAGAATATGATTAGGCACTGGATTTGTCCAGTTGTGTTAATAAAAATAAATAGTATAAGGACAACAATTATCTACTAAGCATCCAACAGTAGGATATCACACATGAATGAATGACCTATTTGCAATTGAAATAATTCCCCTGACATTGAGTTTCAAGTGTACCAAAGAGGATAAAAATACACTATCACAAAATAATTTCAAATATTTGAACAAGGTCAATAACCTACTTGAACAGATGCAATCCACCACCCTTGAAGAAACTCAGGTGCCACACCGACTCAATTTTGCGAGGACATAACAATCCACAAAAACCTGCGCTCTGTGTCACAGTCTTGAGCCCATCCTCTGACCCGACTGAGGCAAACATTTGTCATATAAATAAATTAAAGTAACTTTCCCCTGTGTTTCACTCCGTTTATTCTGCACTGCTATGGTCTGACGGGTTGTTTAGACTGAGTGCACAAGCACTGAGCGAACAGGCGGTCTCAATATTCATGATTGGTCCATTTAATCCCTTCAGAAATCAGACGGATTAGACAAAAATGGAAATACAAAATACGTTATTGGCTGACTGAAGCTTTCTGTTGCGTAAGTGGATGCAATAGGCTACACACCACACAAACACTGCAGCCTCTGTGTGGGCAATCACACTTAAAAACCTGCGTAGGATCATCTTTGGTGGGACCTCACCAAACATTATAGCCTATTATAGGCTGTCATCACGTTTTTTAGTATGCTATCCAAGCTTGCAAACAAAATTGAATGTTGTCATTAAAGGTTTTTTAACCTTTATTTTATCAGGGAGTCATACTGAGACCAAGGTCTCTTTTACAGATGAGCCCTGAATTACATAAATTACATAAAATACACACATCAATATAAATACAAAACGCAAGTAGAAAGAAAAACATGGTCATAAAAAACAAAAACATTCAGCAGTAATATGTAGCTCAGCTGGTAGAGCATGGCGTTTTCAACGCCAGGGTTGTGGGTTCGTTTCCCACGGGGGACCAGTATGAAAAAAATTAAAATAATGTATGCACTCACTAACTGTAAGTCGCTCTGGATAAGAGCGTCTGCTAAATGACTAAAATATAATAAGGTCCTCAATCTGCCTTCTGAATTGCCCTAGAGGCATCAAAACATCAAATGTAAGAACCTTTAGAAAATTGTTCAACACATAAGGTGCAAGAAAACTAAAAGCTGATTTACCTAACTCTGTAGAGACCAAAGGAATTTCAAGAGTTAACCATCCCTGAGACCGGGTGTGGAAACTCGTATGTCTAAAGTTTAGTAAAGACGTTAGGTACAGTGAGACTTTTTGTAAAGGGCTTTATAAATGAAAACATAGCAATGTATCACCCTACGTGAAATCAAAGAGGGACAACCAACTTTCTGGTAGAGAATGCAGTAATGAGTACTAAAATTGTCGCCCGTAATAAAGCGCTATGTGCATCTAACGGCTTTAATGAAGTGGACTAAACTCCACTCATAAACTTCGTTCCCCGTGGAGTGATGTTTAGTCATCTAGCTGTGCGCCTGATTGATGATGGGGAAATGTGGCTTGCCATATCAAAGATTATGGATATACTGACAAGATACTTGTCTCTCCGCCCTAACAATAAAATAATTAGATGCATCCACCAATCCAAAGAAAGGATAGGCGGGAGCTAGACAGCCTGCGGTGCCGTTTGTGGACAACAACTTGCATTATCTATTTGAATATTCGATGAGGATTGTTGACGTCAACCGCCTGTATTCAATGGAGAGAGAGGGAGAGATGCTATGCTACTAGTCAATCATGAATATGCATAGCCATGTCGTGACAACTCTGATATAAATATGTTTTTCTCAAAGTTGCGGGGATGTCACGTGTCCTACTACTTATATCAGTAGACTCATAACAACCTCAGCATTAAGAAACGTATATTAAATCAAATAAACCTCATGTAGCAAATAAGCCATTCATTTTTTTGTTGACCAAATTCGACACTAATTGATCTCCATACAAAAAATCCTTGCTTGGTGGGCGAAAAACGCCACCTGCTTTGAGGGACACTGATTTTCCGCGGAGATGGGCCTCTCTGGCCATATCCACTAGACGTGACAGATGCTGGCCGAACTTTTTGCTGTGCACTGGCATTCTCTCACCAACAGAGGGTACTCTCGCTCAACTCCAATGTTAGCTAACAAGCCAGACACTCAGTTGACACCCTCAAACTTCGGCAGCAGCCAAGCTGCATAGTCGACATGGCGACCGATAAAATAACACAAGATTTTCCTAAAGACAGATAAAAGTATTCTGGAATGAGTGAGTAATTTGTGCATGTTAACGCTAAAATGTTATGAACAGTAAACAATACATGTTAGTTAACGACGCCTAGTCTCTGAGCTAGCCTAGCCAGCTGGCATAACTGAGAGCTAGCTAAGTACGTAGCAGTATGTTAAGTGGCTAACCGCAATTTATTTGCCAACAACATTCTGCAACCTGGTTTAGTAATGTGATTGCCACATAATGATAGTTAGCTAAATCTTTGATATTCAGTCAACTAGACGTCTAAAATAGTGAAGCGGTAGTGGTAAATCTAGCTAGCCGCTAACGTTAATTAACTACATCGTTTTAGCTATTATTACTACATGAAATGGTTTTACGTTATCTAGCTAGTAGTAGCTGATTGGTTATCTAGTTAGTACGATTTCCCGTGTAGTTAGTTATTTGTTTTACTTGTAACGTTAACGTAGCTAGCTAGTTTGCTAACAGCTACCTACCAAGCTTCAACTAAATTCGTTTCATGCGTTTTTGTCAGTCATGAAAGCGTCTAACGCTAATTTCTAACGTTTACCATATATAGTAGCCAGTTAGCTAACTTTAGCTGCTTGTCGCTCGAATTTAACACCTAACTATTTAGCGACTTGCCATATACCTTGCTAGACGTGTTGTGTTGCGTGTTTAACTAATTGGTATTTGAAATAAAACGCATGTGTGTGTAAATATATAATATATATAGAATCTGTAGTTATATCTTGCAGGATCAAATTGTTAGTTAGCTAATTCTGCGCAGCATAAATTGGCTAACTAGCTACGTTAGTTCAAGCAGCATAAGTAGCTAGTAGCTAGCTACGTCGCCTCTTCGTCTTTGTCCACTAGCTAGACAGGCCATAGTAGGCTAACAACGTCAGTTGTTTTGATCTGTTATTTGGCCGTCTGGGTTGCCAGCCATTTATTATGTATCTGAAGGCTGACTTTTCTGACGCTATGAACATGATTGAACCAGCTAGAACAGGTTTAATCAGGTAGTTGGTTGGTTAACTAAAGACGACACTGGATGGTAATCATGCTAACGTTACTAACTAACTATTCAGCTTGCCGGTGGTGAATTGTCTTTTTAGCTAGCCATTTTGAATTTGTATGGCGGCGGTATTGAACTGACTTGCTTGGTGCAGCTAACTATAATACATTCTGTAGGCGTGTTCGTTTAAGTTAATCATATTGTGCTGGTATTATTTTAATGAAAGTATATATTATAGTATAGTTAGCTAGACGTTAACGTTTCTCTGTCAGCTAAGTGTCGTTAGTTGGCTAACATGACACTGGCCAATGGATTTGTCCAACGTTATTTTGTTGTAGCTAACGTTAGTTAGTTAAATGTAACATAATTATTGCTTGACCTGTGCCAAGAAGAGAAACTAGATCCACTTTGTCAGCTCCTGTAACTGGGCTGTTTATGTTTTGAGGAGTGTAGCTATGCAATTTGTTGCCAGCCATAAATGTAAACAATGTTGGGTTGAGTCATCTGTTGTATGAAGGTAATTGGCTCAGCTAATGTTACATTGTGCAAGAGTCACTGTCAACACAAAATAATCCACAGACGTTTAACCAATGATGTATATAGAGTTCGCCAGTTTGTAGTCCTAAAATCCGGAAATGAGTTACCACTGGTTCGTTTAACCATCCCTATGGGGGAAAATAATAGGGATTTGGACTAAACGCCGAAAATAAGGTCTGAGGTTAACACAGGTTTACGAGATCTTATACGTTTTGTTCTATGACATAATAGCAGTCATGACCTTTATGAATTATGAAGGCTTTGTGTTTTTTCTTAAAACATATTCTTCAAAATTCACAAGTGACGTTAGCTGATAAAGATTCTCATAGATTCAAACGTTTTAAAGATCTCCTAAGCATGTGTTTACCACATACCTTATTTTCGGCGTTTATCCAAAAACGGCATTCATTTTCCTCATAGGCTTTGTCCAACGAACTATGGCGGCATTAGTGCCTACAAAAAGACGCCATTACCATTTCCCTCTATAAACCCAGGATTGCTGATGCTATGTATTGGCAATGGATAGGCTGTGAAGCCACCGGTCGGCCATATTGGCACTCCCCCAGTAGGAGCGGTCCTCCATAGGAATTAATGGAATTCTACAGTATTTCAATTAAATGTTTAAAGGAGAAAATGACATGTATTTAAGTATTTTTTGTTGTAGTGGGGACAGTAACATTAGCAGCCTCAAATGTTTTCATTTTGTATTTTTATGTTTAGTTCACATATCAAGTATTCATTAAGGTGTCTGTAATATAATAAATGTGGCAAAAACAAATGTAGATAATGGCGCCGGAGAAGATGGCTGCCGTTTTACAGCCCTCTAACTCGCCCTCCATTTGGCAAATATGACCA